ACATAAAGACAGTGCCTCTTTACTGTTGAACAATAGTTTATCAGGGGTTGGAGAGATTCAAAGTGGTTTCTTTTGAAAAAAAGATCCAGGTCAGGAGAGTGAAAGGTAGAGCACACCCCAACACACCTAACATGCAGTAGAAACAGCTCAGGGTGACAGTCGTAACAGCCACCACATAGCTAGTCCTTGCTGTGTGCTGGCACAGTTCTGAGAGCTATATGTTGCTTAACTCATCTGGTCCTCAGAGCATCCCTAGGAAGCAGGTCCTACTATTTTCCCATTTTACAGGTGAGACACTGAGGTACAGAAAATATGAGTAACTTCTTCAAGGTCTCACAGCTAGTGAGGACAGAACAACGCCCCAGTCTCAGGGAAGTGAACTCATGGAACTTCACTGATAGAAACTCGTGTGAGCAGTTTTCCCTTCCCTTTTATTTTCTCATGTCCCCTCTGCATAAATGTGGTTCCCAGAAGATTCCCACATGCCCCAATTCCCCCAGTTTTCTGCTTGATTTAAACCTCACTTCCTCCCAGAAGTGTCCCCTTGACACCATGCCACAGGCGCTGCTTCTACTGTAAGTCACTAGGGCACTTACTGCCCTAGCGTTGTAACTATCTGTGCCCAAGTCTTCTCTCTCCAACCTAAATGGTTTTTTATTGGTTTTGAATATTCATGAGATACAAAGTTGATTGTCACCCCTCGTGCCCAAGATGTGAAGGCCAGATTCATACTGGCAGCCTGCCCATTACCACGAATTACTTTGTAGCCCGGGTCCCCCACCCAATTATCCCCATTCTCCTTCCCCCTTTCCCCCTCACTCTGCTTTGTAGCCCAAGGAATGTTATCTCCCTGTGCAAGTCCAATGCACCACTGTGGTCTTTCTTTCCTGCCTTCCTTTCTCTCTTAGCTCCCACATATGAGTGAGGACATGTAGTATTTATCCCTCTGCTTTGCTTATTTCACTCAACGTAAGTTTCTCCAGGTTCATCCACATTGTTGCAAATGTGAGAATTTCATTCCTTTTTATGGCAGAATGGTATTCCATGGTGTAGATATACCACAGTTTCCTTATCCAATCATCCATCGATGGACATTTAGGTTGGTTCCGTGTCTTGGCTTTTGTAAACAGAGCTGTGATGAACATGGGAATCCAGGTATCCCTTCGACTTGATGATTTCCATTCCTTTGGGTATATACCCAGAAGTGGGATTGCTGGATCGTATGGAAGATCTATCTGTAGTTGTTTGAGAAACCTCCATACTGTTTTCCATAGTGTCCCCAACCTAAATGTTAACTATCAAGGGCATGTCCTCAAAAATTGACATCCCGGGCCGGCCCGGTGGCGCACTGGATAGTGCCCCGCTTGGGAAGCGCAGTGGCGCTCCCGCCCGAGGGTTCGGATCCCACATACAGACCGGCCGCTCACTGGCTGAGCGAGGCGCGGGAGCAACGCCGAGGGTTGCAATCCCGTTGCCGGTCCCCGGTCCGGTACGGGGGCAACACTGAGGGTTGCGATCCGTTGCCGGACACGGAAAAAGACAAAAAAAAAAAAAAAAAAAAAAAAAAAAAAAAATTGACATCCCTAAACACAAAGGGATCATCAGACACCATCAGTTCAACCCTCTGAATTTACCAGTGAAGAAACGGAGACCACCCAGGGTCAACAGCCAGTCAGGATTTGACTATTTCACTCATTCCAAGACTTCTCTGACACTCCTTGGAGATCAACAGGGCTGGGCATCCCATAGATGCTGAATAAATATCTTCAAGTGAATGAATAGTCAAGCTGGAGAACTTCATCCCGTGGGATGTTCCAGTGTTGAAAGGCATGCCCAGGCACAGGAAGGGCAGATGAGAGGAGACCGTCCTCAGGCGAAACTAGTCCAGCCTGGGAAACTAGGCAGGTCCCTCCAGATCCAGGAAGGCTGCTTTGCTGAGGTTAGAGAGCAGGACAGACCAGTCAAAAGTCTACGGAGCAAGGAGAGGAAATCACTTGCTCTGGCACCAGCTAAACAGGGCTGAGATCCCAGCACCTGCAACCTGGGCCATGGAGTGATGGAGGGTAGCAAGCCTGAAGCCTACCAAGAGCAGCTCCACACGGGGTGTGAGGCTCAGCTGCCCTGATCCCTGATCCTGCTGGCATGGGGTGAATCTGCGAGCAACTCCAGCCCTCCTCCCCTCCCTCAACTTCTGGGTCAGGTGAGACTTCTGGGGCTGAGACAAGCTTGGGGCTCAGGGAAGGGCTTTGGGGCCCATGCTGGGACCCTGAGCATCTGGGTACCCAGCTGCGTTTCACGGCTTTCCTCACAGTGAGATCAGGAGGAAGAGCTCCTCCCTGAGCAGAGGAATTGCACAGTGGGGTTGCAGGTTCAGGAGTGATGGTTGTAGCTCCGCATGGGGAAAGCTAGGGAGCAGAGGCCGAGGTCCCTGGCATGTAATCTTTGACAAGCCTGTCCCTCTCGAGTCACCCTCCTTAAAGGAGGCAGAGGAGTGATGGTGTCATCCTCTGAGCATGGCAGCAGCATAGCTGGTCACCACACTAAGGGGCATCTGTCCCCATTCTGGGTTCCCAGACATCTTTATTCCCCTTCTGCACACAGTCTTTCTAGCAGGGTAGGAGAGGGGAAGCCAGGCTGGCTGGGGGCTGAGGGGTCCTCAGGGGCCAGCAGTTGCAGAGGTCACCATAGCTCTCCATGGGGTTCCCTGGTTAATTAGTTGGTGGGTGACCCCCTTTGCTCCCAGCCTGTATGCTGCTCCTCCCTCCTGTGGCTGTTGAAGCAAATCTTCCTCTCCAGGACGTACCCACCATAACCCTCCCTGTGCTGGAAGCAGGTGAGCCTCTCGGCATGTGCTGGGGAGGGCAGAGCCCAGTGGGGCTCACAGGTGAGTTATAGGGCAGGAGACTTGCTGGCAAGAAGTGGAATAATCGATGACAGAAAGGCAAGGTGGGTAAGTCAAGTGCCCGAGGGAGAGAGACAGATGAGAAGTACCTGCCGACCTGTAGCAGACAGCACGAGGAAGTGGACAACCATAGATTCAGAAATTCATGCAATCCCAGCTTGTCCCCAGATGGCCAAATGACTTCAGACACAGTTCTCTGGGTGCTGGGTGACCGAGATAGAAAGACAGCTCATTGACTATGTCTTATTCACCTCTGAATGCCTTCCCCACCTGGTGCTCAAGGACCTGCCTGGCACAACAGTTAAGATTGTTGAGTAAAGTATTGAAGAGAAATGAGCGAGAAGTTGGAAGAGGAAAGTAGAAGAGGGGAGGACTGGAAAAAGTTCATCTTGGGTTAAAACGGGGACTGAAGAGAAAGCTATTTGGGGCACCACTGAGAGAAGAATCTGGGATGGCCAGGAAGAGACTGGATTCAAGGAATTGGACAGAAACCGCCAGGACTGAGAGTTCTGGGGGCCAGCAGTGGTCTCCCCTGTCACCACGGCCACTGCCCCTTCTGTTAGGCAGAAAGACCTGAGGCACAAGAGAGTAAGAGGAAGGAGGAGCTGGTGTGCGAGCATTGTGTGCAGACCCAGGCTGGGCCTCGGTGTGTCTGGGAGAACCCACTGACATCACAATGTCTCTGGCATTTACTTGTGTGTGTGTGTGTGTGGGGGGGGGTCTGTGTTTGGATCTTCATAGTTATGTGGCATGTATGACTATGTTTTCTCTAGTACCTAAATCTGTGTGTAAGGGTGAGTGTCTGTGTTCACCCACATGTGCATGTTCCTGTCCTAGTGGGTATGAGTGTGTCTCCGGCATGTCCATGTGTCTGGATTTATCGGGATATGTCTGCATGCAGGTGTGTATCCCTGTGTACATCTGTGCCCTGGATTATCTAAGTGCTTGCTACAAAGGCTACACTTTCTGCATACAGTTTAGGGCAGCAAGCTACCTGAAAGATAGGGTTTCTGGCTCTAGATCCTAAGAATCCCTGCCTAATTTTGTGACCTTAAATAAATCCTTCCGACCCATTTCAAAGCAGACACCTGCCATACCCAGGTCTCAGGAAAGGGCACTGGGTCAACAACAGCAGTTCAGTATCCGGGAAACACTCCTGCACCAGGCATTTCAGGGGGAGCCAACACAAACTCAGTCGACTAACCTCTCCATCACCTAAAGTGGGGAGCTGAGATGGGGGAGGAAATTGACATTTATTAAATACCTAATAGTTGCTAAGTATTTGCTTATATAACCTCATATATAAGCAAACTCTAAAGATAGTACTATTATCCTACTTTTAAAGAAAAAAGATGAAGCTCAAAGAGGTTGAGTAGCTTCCCTGAGTTCTCCTTTGTAATTTCCTTGAACACACTACCCACTCTTTCTCGAATTCCCTTCCACCCTCGTCTGTCCCATGAATGCTTCGTCCTTCAAGCTGGCCCTGCTCACATGCCTTCTTCTCTGTGGAGCTTCCCCTGACCTTGTCAGGAGTTAAGACAAAGCCATATGCAAGGACTCAGGTCAGATGGAAAAAGACAAGTAAATATCTGCCCTCAGAGGCTCATCATCTAGTGGAGAAGATGGACATCACAGCAGAAAAAGTCACTTTATTACCATCAAATGAGGGCTAAGTTCCAAATGAGAAGTCAAGAAAGGAGGTGGGGTTTCGTGGAGGAAGTGGAGCTGAGGTTGGGTATTGGAATAGGGTAGGAAAAGCATTTCAGGTAGGGAGGAGCATGCGGGAAGGCATGTGAGAAAAGAGTAAGCAAGAGACAGCGACAGGCCGACCTGGCTGGGATGGGGGAAAGGAAGCATATGGAAGCAGTTGGAGCTAAGACTGAAGAAGAATACCAGCAGCTGTGTTTGGAAGCTTTGGACAGAGGGCTGAGCAGTTCACACTGCATCCAATGAGCTGCAGGGAGACTGGCAGGAAAGTAAAGCTGGGTGGGAAGAGCGTGGCTCGGGAATTCCCAGGGCCTCTACGGCATTGGCTTTCTCTCTCTCTAGGTCAACCATTCCCAACCCACAGGAAACCCACTGAATTCTCTAGGCTGAGATGGACAACAACACATCTGCCCTCAAAACTGGGGACCTCTGGCCAGGAAGGAAACCAGCCCACTCTGCAGACAGTATCGAGGTCTGGCGTGCTGCCCTTCAGGTGAGAGAACCCAACATTTCTCTGCTATCTTCTTGCCATGTGTCCTATCTTCCTCCCCATCCCACCTCCATCCATTATGCATTATACAGCATCGGGGAAGCAGAGGTACGCATTTTAGTTTTAACCCACCCAGAAAACATCTTCCCATGCCTTCACATCCTCTTTGCGCTGCCTGAAATGCACTTCCTACTCCCAAGTGTCTGTATATCTGCTGATCTCCTACTCATTCTGCCAAACCCAATTCAAACCTCACCTCTTCTTTGGGATCTTCCCCAAATCAGCCGGGCAGAGAAACTTTTGTTCATACAGTTGGTGTACTGCTTGTTACATGTGCATGGCTGGAGGTGAAAAACAACGGCTGACCTACTGCTAAAGCCCCAGAGTCTAAGACATGCCTGACCTGGAGCAGGCACTCAATAAATTGGCATGAATTGTATGGTTGCACCTTTATACTGTCCGGGGAACTCTACACAGCCTGGCCCTAGAGCATTGTGTTCAATTCCTGTTAGGAAGACATTAATGAAGGCATTAAGAATGGAAATGAACCTGGAAATTAAGTCCTATAAGAAAGGATCCAAGGCACTAGGAGTGCTTGGGTTGAAGAAAAGAAGACTTAATAGATCTAGAATAGATTCCTTTGACCCCTATGTGAAAAGCTGCAGAGAAAGTAGAGTTGGTATGTGCAGCCCCCCGTGGCCAAAACTAGGACCATTTTTAGAAGTTACAAGAAAGCAGGTCACAGCTGAGATTAAGAAAAACCTCCTTAAATAACTACAGCTCTCCAGTATTGAACTGGTTTGTCTCAAGAAGCCACCGGGGAGCAGAGATAAGCCATCAAATGTTGGGGGAATGGGAACTAATGTCTATTAGCATCTATTCTCTGCTACATGCTTGCATGCACATTACCTCACTTAATTGTGACATCAACCATGTAAGAGAGAAATGAATATTCCCATTCTAAAGATGAGGAGAGTGGAGATAAAATGAAAGTGGGTCCATGTTTACACAGCTGATCAGGATTAAAACCCAGGTGGCGCAGACTCCAAAGCCAGTGCTCTTCCACTGCATCTCTCAGCTGCCCAAGGGGAGGTTGAGGAGTCAAGATCAAGGGCTCAGCAGAGAGAAAACCGCACTGCAGAGAAGAATGGGTGGGAGGGGTGCTGAGGTCCTGGCTCTTCGGCACCACCACTCTACCTTGGGGAAAGGGGTGGGGTTGTTAGCAGCATAGCAGACTATTTCCCGGGGACAGCTAATGGTTGACAATGATGGAGAAGCAGAAAAATGAAAAAATAGGGTACATCTGGGGCTTGTCCTGGCTAGTTGACAGGTGTGGTCAGTGCAGTTTGCCCATCATCCCTCTCCTTCACCCGTCTCCCTCACTGCTCTTCAGAAAGCTTTATTCCACAAATATTTATTGGGTAAATTTGGTGTACAGATCACTGGACAAGACAGTGAGATGCAGCTCCTTTTTCAGGGCACCTTCCCTGCTAAGAGCCAATAGTCCAATCTCTGGGATCTCGCTAAAGCCTCTTTTTTGGCTACAGTAGGTGGGCTGAGTTAGTAGCAGAGCATTTCTAGAAATCTTAGAGCAACGGGAGAAAAGAATGTGGTGGTGTAAGGAAGAGGTTGAATGGGGGACAAAATGAGTGCATTGTCTCTGGCATAACTGAAGTCACTTGGTTAACAGAAATTTACAGGTTTTCTGTCCAATTGATTTTAAGCACTGAGATCAGAGCAAGAACAAGCCTGTCCCGGTGTCATATGTGGATGTCTTACCCTCTTCCCTCCATGCCTCCTTTACCAACAAACCCACACAATCTCTCCCCACTGTCTGGAATGCCCTCCCCTCCCACACAACACCATGTCTGCTCGGTAAAGCCCTATTCATTCTCCAAGACCCAGTTCAAGTCCTTTCCAAACTCCTCTAGGAAGAATAACTTACTCCCACTTGATTCATAAAGTTAGTAAACTACTAAACACTCTGCAAGCTGCTCTAGGTCTGTTTGAGGGCAGAAGCTAAGACTCATTCACCTGCCTTTCTCCCACAGTATCTAGTACAAGGATCAGCAAACTGTGCCCCACAGGCCAGATCCAACCCACTGCCTGTTCTGTAAATAAAGTTTTATTGGAACAGAGCCACGCCCATTCATTTACTTATTGCAGATGGCTGCTTTTGCACAACAGCCGAGCTGAATAGTTGAAACAGATACCATATGTCCCACAAACCTAAAATATTTACTATATGGTCCTTTACAGAAAAGGTTTGTCGATTCCCGAACTAGCACATAATGTGTGGTGAATAAATGAATGGCAGATGTGGTAGGGTGTTCTGTGAAGAAATGCAGACCGGTATTCAGATGGCCTAGGTACCGACTTCACCCCAACGAACTGTTCGACTAAGCAACTAATGATTGTGATAGATTGATGATCAATAGATAAATAGATAGTATTGAGTATTTATTATGTGCCAGGTACTGTGCTAAGCCTTTGAAACTTATGATTCACTTTATCTTCACAACCAACTCCAGAGGTAGCTACCAGTATTTTCCTCATTAAAGAAGAAGAAACTGAGGCTTGGAGAGGTCACACCACCTTAGTGACAGAGCCAGGACTCAGAATCAGATCTGACATACTCTAAAGCTTGAGACCTACCCACTGCACTAGAATACCCCTCTGAGATTCAGTTTCTTTGTGAAATTAGAGTTACTGGATGAGCAGCATGGTTTTCAGTCCATTTTAGCCAGCAGAAATTTATAAATATACTTAAATACATATATAGTGTGTGTGCGTGCGTGTGTATTAAAATTTGTATATGGGACCTCAACACGCAGGAGGCTTGCCTGGAGCTCCCAGAGCTGAGGCGTGCCGCCCCGTCTCTCCGCCAGCACCCCCACCTGCCGGGGCTCTCCACGGCTACGGCCAACCTCACCTCCGCCCCGGGCTTCCTGCTCCTGGGCCTGATGGACGGAACAGACGCGCACCCGCTGTTGTTCCTGCTCTTCCTCAGCATCTACCTGCTCAATGCCCTGGGCAACCTGAGCATGGTGGTGGTGGTGAGGTCCGATGAGGCCCTTCGCTCCCCCATGTATTACTTCTTGGGTCACCTGAGCCTTGTGGACGTTTGCTTTGTCACCGTCACGGTCCCCAGACTGCTAGCCAGCCTGCTCCAACCCGGCCAGGCCGTGTCCTTCCAGGCCTGCTTTACCCAGATGTACTTCTTCGTGGCTCTGGGCATCACCGAGAGCTACCTGCTGGCAGCCATGTCGTATGACCGCGCGGTGGCCGTGTGCTGGCCCCTGCACTACGCGGCGGTCGTGTCGCCCCGGCGCTGCGGGACGCTGGTGCGGGCGTCCTGGGCCGTGGGCCACCTGCACTCGCTGCTGCACACGCTGCTCATCTCCGCCCTCTCCTACCCCCGAGGCGCCCCTGTGCGCCACTTCTTCTGTGACATGACGGTGATGCTGAGCTTGGCGACTTCGGACACGTCCTCCGCGGAGACGACCATCTTCTCCGAGGGCCTGGCCGTGGTGCTGGCCCCGCTGCTCCTCGTGTCGCTCTCCTACGCGCGCATCCTCCTGGCCGTGCTCGGGCTGCGCTCGGCGGGGGGCCGGCGACGCGCCTTCTCCACCTGCGGCGCCCACCTGCTGGCGGTGTCGCTGTTCTTTGGCTCCGTCGTCTCCGTCTATTTCCGGCCGTCGTCTGCCTACTCGGCCCGCTACGACCGCCTGGCCAGCGTGGTCTACGCCGTGGTCACACCGACCTTGAACCCCTTCATCTACAGCCTTCGCAACAAAGAGGTCAAGGGCGCCCTGAAAAGGGGGCTCCGGTGCAGAGCTGCGCCCCGAGAGGGGTGAGGGCGGGTCTGGGTTCACTAGCACGTCGGTAATGGGAACGGTCACCAGAAAACCCTTTTCTCTTCATTTGTTTAGCTTTCCACAGCACTGTCAGCTTTGATCCTACAGGGTCTTATTTCTTCTTAAATAAATAGTAATAATACAATTAGGCCTGAAGCCAACACAACAGTGTTGATGACAGGGACGGGCAAGAGAGGGCAGTGAGTTAAACTCATTTCTCTGTGGTCTGAGTGTTTGAAATAGAGTCTAATTTTACATTTTGGAAAAATTTAAAGGGAACGAACGGGAGCAGGAGAGAAGGCTTGGAGTTTGCGGCCGGAGGGGCTGCGTGGGGGGGACCCCGAAAATCCGCGGGGGTCGGAGGGGGACCTGGAGGAGGTTTCCTGAGATGCGCTGCAGCCCCGCGGTCAGCCCTGCAGACTCCCCCTCGGAGACTTCAGTAAAGATGATTGTTTTAAGTTGTTTCAAAAAGTTTTATTCTATTCCCTAGAAACCTTGGTATAATCAGCACCAGGCTCTAACTAATTGAGCTAACGGGCCAGCTATTGATAAATATGTTTCCTTTCCACTTTTTCAGTATTAAAAGGATGTGATGGATATCCTTGCAATAAAAATCATAACATTTAATAAGGAATTGTGATGTGGCAGGCACTGTCCTAAGTGCTCTATGCATCTGTCTCATTTACACTTCAGAAGATTCCACAGGAAAGATGTCATTATTATTGTCATTGTACAGGAGAGAAGGTAAGCTTAGAGACACTAAGTACCAGTCCCAAAGTGATAAGTCTAAGAAGTTCATCTTCCTCAATGATTTGGAATCTATTCATCCTATAGAGTAACTTCTACTAGTACATAAGCTCCTAGAACATAATTTTGTTCACGTTTTTTCTCTTAACTTTAAAGTTACCACTTTTTCACTCCTAGAGCTTTTTACTTATGTGTTTTCTCTTTTTCGTCTTGTTTTATATGCCAAAGTTTTATTCGTTATATAAAGAATCTAAGAACCAACATTTAGCTTATGTGATATTAACTCTATTGTTTCTTGGTTTTCATCTCCATTGAATTTTTTCACTTCTGTATTTATTAATTCCTTCCGTTTTCTTCATGTTGATTTTGTGGTACTTTTTCTAGATTCTTGAGGCTTATGTATCATCTTGGGTTCAGGAGAGGGGTGGACTCAGTAGTGTAGTCCCTGTGCAGTTTCTTTGGTTGTAATTCTCATTGGTGATATCTACAGGAGTTTGTGCCAACACTGGCATTATTTTGCTGGGTTGGAGACTCTGGGCTAGTTGTTGGCCAGGTGTATGTGGGCACAGAGGGCCAACTGGCTGTTTGGAGGTCTCTCTGAGGCGCAGAGTCACTGCCTGGCCAGCTATCAGGTCAGGCATGGATGTGCAGCTCTGAGGTTGTCTCTCCTAGGGGTTGGTGTACTGCCTCACCAGCTTTGGTGCTGGAAATAGGTGAGCCTGGATGTGAGGTGGAGAGATCAAGTGGCTCTGCAGAGGCCAGGCAATGGAGTGGATGCCACTGGCGAGGACTTGGCATGCATGCACAGCAGGGCCAGGTGACTCTATGGAGGCCTGTCAAAGGAGATGAAGCCACCAACCAATCTGCTGTCCATCAGGGAGCAGGCATGCACCAGTGTAGCAGAATCTGGCAGCTCCATGCTGGATCAGCTGCAGCTTGGAGCAAGCCTGCAGTGGTGCAGCATGGCCTAGCAGCTCTGTAGAGCCCACCAGGGGGAGACAGAGATGCTGCCCAGCTCACCATTGGGCAAGGAGTAGGCATGCACCAGTACAGCAGGGCCCACCAGCTCTATGGAGGGCTGCCAGCTCAGCTGTTGAGCCTGGAGCAAGTCTGCAAGGGCACAGCAGGACCTGGTGGCTCTTCACAAAGTCCTGCCAGGAGGAGAGAAACCTGCTGCTTGATCCGCCATCAGTCAGGAAGCAAGTATACATTGGTGCATCAGGGTCCAGCAGTTCTGTAGAGGGCTGCTAGACCAGCTGTCAAGCCTGGAACAAGCCTGCAGGGATGCAGCATGGCCCAGCAGCTCTGTAAAGGCCTGCCATGTGAAGGCAAATCCATGGCCTGATCATTGTTGGCCAGGAAGCAGGTGTATACCTGTGCATCGGGCCCTGGCAGCTCTGTAGAGGCCTGCCGTGGGATCCCCTTTCCCTTTTAAGACTTTACAAACCAGGGGACATGTCTGAATGTGGACCAAAGTCCACCAAACTGAGAAGGTATCTTGATACCGAAGAATGAAGCAAACAATTCTATGATGTAAAGCAAAGAATTTTATTAAAGCGTAACTTACATACAGGATGATGGATCAGGTGGCTGATGACCCAGAGGCGTACACAAAGTTTCTCAATGCAGCCTCTTGGTCAAGCCCAAATTTCTATAGGAACTTCACACAAAGCAGTGAAAAAGCTGAGAAGCCATTACTAACTAAGAAACAAGCTGACGTCACTAACTCCAAATGTCTCACAACAATGATCACTATCATTGGTGGTCTTGTGATGCAGGTAGCCAGACAGGCTGTTGCCACATCAGTACTTAATCATTAAGTTCCTTCTTTGTAGTCAGCAAGCAGTTTCATCTGTTGTTCTAACTACCATTTCGCTTTTGTGGGCAAGGACCACACAAAGGACATAAGAGGTGATAAGGGTTTCAAGATGGAGTAAGATAAGCTCACAGTCTCACAGGATGTTAGACAGGGAAGTAAGAGTTAGAAGGGAATAGAATTGAGAGAGAGGTCTGGGGCTACTGGGGAAGCAGCTGAGATGGAGAGGACTCAAGTGTGGAATACACAATATGTCAGTGCCAGGTACCTGGAGCCAGTCAGCCTGGGTTCACCTGACTCCACCTCTACCAGCTTCATGAGCTTGGCCAAGGATCTTAACTTCTCTTAGTCTAAATTCTCTCATCAATCTAATGGAAATACAACAATATCTAATTCATCATGCCATAGGAAGGAAAAAATAAACAATTCATGTAAAAAGAAAAAACTTGCCATATAGTAACACAGTGTGTTGTGGCATCAGTAAGACTTACTACTGCCATAGTTAAGTTCTGTGATGTGGATGCAATCTTTTTGCAAGTACGCCTACCCTGATCCATCCATCCACCCGATGAGCCCAGGGCCTTGGTGCTAACAGAAAAGTGTGGTGGAGCACTGTGGGATGGAAGAAGTTACCAGCCCAGAAGGGACAGATCGGAACCCAAATAGCAGGGATTTCCTCTCAAGTTATGAGATGAACCTATCCCTAGGTAAAGATATTAATATTAGCACAGCTCGGGCCAGCCCGGTGGCGCACTGCTACAGTGCGCCGCTTGGGAGCGCAGCAGTGCTCCCACCAAGGGTTTGGATCCCACATACAGACCGGTTCCCGCTCACTGGCTGAGCGAGGTGTGGGCGCAACACCGAGGGTTGCGATCCTGTTTCCGGTCCCAGTCTGGTACGGGCGCGACACTGAGGGTTGCGGTCCGTTGCCGGACATGAAAAAAGACAAAAAGGAAAAAAAAAAAATATTAGCACAGCTCAACAGAGGGTGAAGAAAACTAGCTTCATGGAAAGGGACTCCAATTATGGTCTCTTACATTCCTTTCCCTAGCCCCCAAGTAAAATATTCAGGAGCCCGGAGAAGTCAGGCTCCACCATCTACTGGTCTGCAACCCTGGCAAACTGTTGAACCCCTAACCTTACACTCCACCTTCAGTGAATCTTACACACCCCACAGAATTGTGGGTTTAGAATGATTGATATTTTCAAAGTACAATTTATTAGTTCTTACTAACAGCTCTGGTGATCCCTCAAATGGAGATGGGAGTCTCATTGACAGCAGAAAACAATGAGGGTGATGACGACAGTCCTTTCACAGTGTGAACGACTAAGAACATTTCCCTTAAGATCAAGAACAAAAATAAGAATGCCCACTTTCACCACTGCTAGTCAGCATGGTACTGGAAGTTCTAGCCAGAGCAATTAAACAAACAAACAAAAAAGAATGAAAGAAGTAAAACTATGTCTAATATCTGTTAAAGGGTATTTTAGAATGGCAATCTCTTCTGAACTCCCTCCCAGCTTACTCAGCTTGTCTAAGTGTGGCTCCAAAGCCTGCCTCCTGTTTCCTACTTCCACGCCATACATTGACAGCTGGGGTCCCTGCCATGGTCTCCTTATGGCTCTCTTCTGCAGTGCTCTGATGCTGAGATCCCTCAGTCCCAAAGAACCTCATTAGTGACAAGCTCGATACCTCCCTCCCCCTTTACCCCTGCACTATTTGAGCCACATTTTGTAATGAATCATGTCCAGAGTCAGAATTCTGGATTGACCTCTGTTCTAACATTGTCAACAAAGCACTTTCTCTGACCATCACAGCCCATGCTCATATCTCACTTCTCTGTCTTCTGCAGCATATGACCAACTAAAACAGTTACCAGAATCAGATACTAGGGAAATATAACAACAGAAATAAAAGGAGAACAGGTGTAGAAACAAAGAGATGCTTTCTAAAAAAAATTTAATACAGGGTAGATTTTGAGTTAATGGGTGTCAGTGGATTCGCGGTGGGTTTTGAGCCCCAGGGTTCTTGCAGCACGTTAGCTGGACCGTATAAGGAACTGGCGCACAGAAAGGCTCAGCCGTTGGTTCTCAGTTCTGGGGGCTCCCCACTCTCCTACTGCTCTGATGTCAACTTTTGACATTTTCCACCGGGCAATTTATACACTATCACCTGCCAGCCTTCCCATAGTACTCGTGTTTGTTTGATCTCATACAAACTCCCCTCTCCGATCTGTTGATGAAATAATAAATCTGGGAACCTTTGAAGATGGTGCACTGCAGGAGAGCACAAATGCGAATCTTCTCTTGATACTTAAGCGTCTGAACGCCACGTCCCCGGCGCCGACGTGGTCTGCATCGTGCACATCTTTTCAGACACATTTAGACAAATCCATCAAGCAGGGCTCCCTAAAAGCCTGTAATTTTCCAGGCAATA